TTAGTGGAAAGTTCACGGATAAAAGAAATGGAAGCTCATCTCAAATTCCTTCAATTCTTGCATGTGATTCTGTCATTTTATTTCCAGTCGCTTGTTTGATTGTGTTCTCATTTTATTTTTTATGTTTTTTCGGAAATAAAACTAATGAAATTTTTTTAAAGTTATCGATTGTTTCTCATTTTAGCCGAAAACAATATTTGACAACTAGACAGTGAGTTGTTTTCGGTAAAGTTTTTTTGAGGTAATATTTTCTATTAGATTAAACATCTAATATATATTTATCAGAATGCGCAGCGGATAGCTTACACATATGACAAATTTTGAGGACGAAATTTTTAAAAGGAGAAAAGATTGTAACAACTCGAAAATTTAAATTGTTCCTTAAATTTTATATTAGTATTATGCTTATATGTGATAATATATTATTAAATATACATAAATATGAAAGTCAGAGTAAATAAATAATAATATTGATAACAATAATAATAATAATAATAATAATGGGTGTGGTAATAAAATAAATAATTAATTTTCTGTTAGTATATGATAGAGTGTAATTTAATTAGGTATTAATTTATTTATATAATTATATTAAAAAATTAAATTAAATATAATTATTTTAAATATTTATTAAAAATAAGTATAAAACGATGAATTTATTATCAAATCTGGTGAGAAATACGCGGGCTGCGCGTTAGCCAGCTAATGTTCTTTTCTCCCTATTATAGGGAAGAGGTGATCATTGCGCGGAAAGAAAAGGAAAAAAAAGAGAGAATGAAAGGAAAGGAAATGAAATGAAAGGAAAGGAAAAGAAACTAAGAAAATAGGAAAAAAATACTTAGAAGTCAAGAAGGTCTTTGATAATATTATCTTAAATATTTATTAAAAATAAATATAAATCTATAAATTTATTATCAAATCTAGAGAGAGATACGCGGGCTACGCGTTAGCCCGCTAATGTTCTTTCCTCCCTATAATAGGGAAGAGGTGATCACTGCGTGGAAAGAAAAGAAAAAAAAAGAGGGAATGAAAGGAAAGGAAATGAAAGGAAAGGAAATGAAACTACGAAAATAAAAAGAAAATATTAGAAGTCAAGAAGGTCTTTGATAATGAAAAAGAATAGTGAGGTATTAATTTTAAGGTGAATTATATTATATTTTGAGTTATCATAACATATTTTACGTATATTTTGACTTATCATAATTTATTTTATACAAGTTATGTTTTATAAATTATTATAAGTTATATTAATATTCCACGTGGATTATTTCTGAACTCTATTTGCTTAAAATGAAACTCATGGATATGTTTGTTTAATTTTTAATGATTATTTGACTATAACCTTATATACAATTATGTTTTGTAAGTACCACCACGAGAGTCTCATGCTTTGGGGGACTTAAATAACCATTGACCTCTGTTTGGTCATTTTGTGGCTCTCTGTTGTCATGGATCCATTGACCCTCTAATTTCTGGTATAGAGCAAAGTGTCGTACGAAGGTAAGTGCTACACTATGGTGGGAGCCACCACTAGAGTTCGTACGAATCACCTCTTGAGTCCATGCATCTGTTCTGTTCTGTTCGGTACCATTGTTGTGGTTATTTATTTACATAATCTCAGTTTTGCTACTTAAATGATTATTTGTTTAGACTAAGTGATCTTAATTATTTTAGTTACATAATTATCTATGGTTATTTTGTGTCCCTTATACTCTTGGCATAATATTTCTCACTCTGCCATGTATTTATAGCTGTTTATCAATTTTCAAGAAACAATGCAATTCAGAAATAGTTTTTGGCAAGTCTTAGATGCAAGGCTGCGGAATAGACACACACAACACTTTTATGATATTTTTATATGTAAATATCAGCCTTTTTGGTCAATAAATTTTGTAATAAAAAATAGAAGTTCTGATAATTATTTTAGTATCCTCATTTAAATATTATTTCCTCTTACATTTATTGATTTGTTCAAGAATTGACCAGAAGTAACTTCAATTACTGACCATCACGATACTTAACCCTTAGGTACGGGAAACGGGTCGTGACACGTAGTCTAACCGTGGTCCCTACCTTGCCTCGCCTGTCCACTTTGCTATACATCCCAGCGACTTCTCGTCGGAAACATAGAAGTCCCTTCCCTCTGCCACTTTGCAGCGAGGTCGGTCTAGGTTGCCGAACCAATCGCACTTGGCCAATTGTCGTGACTTTGAAAGAGCACGCTCGTGGAGTCTCAATCTCTACAACATAGAGCTGAGAAGCTGTGAACCTGTTCAATCGAAATGAGAAGGGTTGGGTTCACTTCGTTGGCATTTGAGGCTGTGGCTTGTCTGCTCTTGCCATGCTTGCACTCAAACAAGCAAAATTGCTCTTGCTATGTTTGCACTCAAACAAGTAAAATTGCTCTCTCTCTCTCTCTCTCTCTCTCTCTCTCTTTAAATCCTTAACAACCTGTCTTTTTGGTTCCCCGGGAAAAAAAGGAAAGAAAATAGTTGCACTCTGCTCACAACTCACTTTTTTTTCCTAATTAGTTAAAATTTCAGGTTTTTCAAAATTTGATTATCTCTCTGATGGTAATTGTATTGTAACTTTCTCAATTTGAAGAGGCAGAAGGTTTGAACATTGGTGGTGTTTGGGAAGAGTTTTTTTTTTTGTTTTTTTTGTTAGTTTTTTGCTAAAATACAAAATAGGTTAAAAAAAATAAAAAAAAAACAAATTCAGACAAAATATCACATCAAATCCATAATCATTTCACTTTTTTTCTCACAAACATTACATCCAATTATAAAAAAATCTAACTATTTTCCCAAACACACAAAAAATTTCCTCAAAAAATAATCAAAAACTAAAAAAACCTACTAAAATAACAACTTCCCAAACACCCACGTTATGTATATTTTGGAAGGAAAATGATTTGAATTGATTTATAGGGTTATGAGGTTAGTGGTTCGGATATTGTGTGGAGCAGCTTCATGGATGGGCTACATAAGGTGAATGTTACTACTATTGATTTTATGATGAATTTCTTATCAACATATCATCCATTGTTCATGCAGATACAAGAAAGTTTATTGGTTGGCCAAGTTAACTGAGCACTACAATCTCATTGCTATTAGTGCAACTCATGGTAACAATTATCTTATATGTATACAGATCTTAGCCTTTTGGACTGGGGTTCATAGATGGTGAGCACCACATATAGTCTATGTTTATGGTGTTTTCTACTAAAATGCGCCTCACCTTTATAGTTTGTTGTTGTTGATTAGGGTTTTTTTTGTTGTTGTTGTTGATGATAATGATGACGATGATGAATATATGCTGTGACGGTGATGAATCTTTGTTTGTGAAATGATTTTAACAGAAAATGGGTGATGAAGAAGCAACAGATTGCAAGAGTCTTTATTTTGTTTATGTCTTTTGCCCTAAATCATGAAAATTATGGTAATTTTGACGCCTAAATCAGTCTTCCGTTAACTAATAGAAACGAAGATGGACGGGGGATCGAATTGTAACATGAGTGGAATGGTGGGATACAAATTGTCAAAATTGGAAACGTGGGGTTTAATTTGAAAAAAGGCATTAAACCTTGATTTTTTTTTTGCTGTTGTAATTTTCCCTAATTTGATCATCCCATTTATTATTTTAAAGTCAATTTAGTAAATAAAAAAAATTAAAACTCTTTATCTCAAATCTAGTCCGAAAGTTAAACAAACTCAAAATTTTTGTTTAGTTCAGGCTTATGGATGAAATATTTTTCTCAAATCCAAAAACTATCGGATTAAGTTGAGCAAGTTGGACAAGTATTAAAATTGATGAACACTCCTAGTTTAAATAGCCTCATTTATTGAATTTTTTTTTTAAAATTAATAAATTTTATTATTTTCTATTTGAGATAATTTGATCATCCCATTTACTATTTTGAAGTCAATTTAGTAAATAAAAAATAATTAAGAAGTAATGTTTACTTTTTATTTTATTTTTATCTTTTTAAATACTAGAAAACGGAATTGAAAAAAGTGAAAAAAAATTAAGATGTGTAATTAATTCTCTATTAATTAAATTATTTGTATCGATTTCATATTATGCAAGTTCGGCACTGACCTACGTTTTGTTTTTTTATGGAATTATTATGTCCTGATGTCAAAAAAATAATTAACTCCTGCTGGCATTTAAAAAAACTTCTTTTAAATTCTTCTAAAAAGCTTTTTCACTTCATAATAGAAAGACTTTAAAAATAAATAAATTTATAATTTAAAAAAATAAAAACAAAAATGTTAAAAAATTAATTATTTTATATTTAATATTAAAAAAAAATTAAAACATCCTAAAAATGTAAAACACTTTTAACGTATATTTATGGAAAATGTTTGGTAGCTCAAAATTTTGTGGTTCAAATGGCTTAAATTTGTCAAAACGACGTCGTTTTACACTCATTTATACTCAAAACGACGTCGTTTTGAGTGATTTGAGCCATTTGAGCCACAAAATTTTGAACTACCTAGCATTGTTGTATATTTATTTATTTATTTATTTATTTTTACTTAAAGCAAAAATTCTGAAATAAAAAACTTTTTAACCATTTCTATCCTAACGGCGTAACTAGGTTGCGGGTCATGACTCGCGACTCGTGACTCACCGCCCAAGCACTACATATAAATTAGGGCTGAGCAAGGAATCCGTGAAATTCGTAATCCGATCCAGTCCAGTCCAATCCGATAGGTTTGGATTGGTTTTTTGAATCCGTGGTTCGGTTCCGGATTGAATAATTAAAAATCCGTAGTTCACGGATTGGTTCCGGATTGAATCCCACGGTTCCGGATTGGAACCGATCCGGACCGTATACAAATAGTCTATATTTTTATTATACATCCTCCCCCATAGTATCTTTTCTTATTCTATGTAAAATCTAAACTCAAACCTAAAATCGTATAATATCTTCTTTTATTACTTTTGTTTGTTAGTTTTAAGTTTTAATTTGCAATGGTCTAAATACTTATGGTGAAACCACAGAGAGAGAGAGAGAGAGAGAGCATGACTCAGTGTGTACCAAGCCTAAACCTTCCCAAAACCCTCAACTATGAGGTCTCACCAATCAAGCAGTCCTTCCCTTCAATCTCATTCTCATCATTGTCGTTATCTTGTAAATCAATGTCGAAATCCAAGAAATACCCATCAATCTCTGCTTCTGTAATGTCGAGCCATGACCACCAAAACCCATCTCTCGACGCTTTTACTTGTAGTGACCGCAGAGACGAAGTTCTTGGAGCTATTCGAAGCTCCCTCTCTAACTGTCTCTCTGAAACCAATCTTCATCTAACTGTCCCTGGTCTCAAATCCAAAATCAGAGGCAAGGTAATTTATGTGTATGTGTAGTATGTGTATATGTCTCATTTGGTTTCTGAGAAAGTGTGGGAAAAGAAAAAAAGAATTGAAAATTCTTAAATCTTGCGTAACCCTCTACTTTATTTTGCATAATTCAACTGTTTTTTATTTGTTGGGGAAAAAGAAAAATTTGAAGACTCGACCTTTTTTTGTTTGTCTTCTCCCCTTTTATTTTCAACATTTGTGCATTTTTTTCAGTTACCCTGAAAAGGGTTATTGTTTTTATTGGAAAAATGATATTCGATTTGATTATTCAAGGTCAGGGACATCTACGATGGAGGGGATTATCTTGTTCTGGTTACAACCGATCGACAAAGTGCATTTGATAGGGTTCTTGCTTCAATTCCATTCAAAGGCCAGGTGATTTCCCTATTTCCCATTTTTTTTTAGTGGATGTCCATCAATAGATTGAACTAAATCAAGTATGCGATGTGACAGCAAGAACTTGGTTTGGAAGTTGTTGGCTAATGTAATTACACAGTGGAGAGATAAATACTCCATTGGGATTGAGATTTAATGTTGTGAGGATGATTTTGTGTTGGATTTGGGTGCTGAAACTTGCAGGTTCTTAATGAGACAAGTTTGTGGTGGTTTAATCAAACTCAGCACATTGCTCCGAATGCCGTAGTGTCAGCTCCGGATAAGAATGTTACAATTGCAAAGAAATGTTCAGTTTTTCCTGTTGAATTTGTTGGTAAGAGATTGCTGTCTTTTTAACTTTCATGTTGTTTCTTCCTCACTTCTGTTATAATTTACCATTTGCATGGTTATGGAAATATATTTTATAAGAAGGAAAGTCAATAAATCTATCGCTTTTCTTTTTATTATTACTTTTGTCAATTATTTTATGTAGTTTTTGAACTGCACAATTAGGATTTTGGTGTAGAATTGACTAGACCACCATTTTAAGAATATGTTTTTTATTTTATTTTTTTTAATTGGAAAATAACAGCAATTAACATTTACATCTTGTGTAAAATCAAATTGATGGAATTTTGGAATATGTGAAATAGCTAGGGGGCCATCCTTTTATACATTGTTAAAACACTCGTGAAATAGAGGGTAGTAAAGGGATTTTCAGAAACTCAAGGGGCCATGGCTCCTCTTGGCCTATACAGTTTACCCAAGGATGCCGATGTTGGTGGCAGAAGTAGTTTGAAATGTTGATTTTATATGCATCTTACCTTTATTTATTATCATTATTATTTTAAATTTTAATCTTTGTTTGTTTGCCTGTACAACCAATTAGTGCATGCCCAATTGATAATTTGTTTTCAGCTGTACTATTTATGATTGGGGTTGAACAGTTATTCGGATCCATGACCTCTTGAAAAAAATTATGTGAATATGAATTAAGATTTACATTCATTATTCAAAAAAGTATTTATTCATGTACCATGGGTTAAAAACTGATGTTGGAGTCCTGAATGATGCAAGGGGATGAGAACGGCTTAGATTGACATGTAAAGATAGTAAAAAGTTCCATTTGGTAAATAGTTGGATACAATTTATGATAAAGTAATAAAATAAAGGTATTTACAAGAAAAATTGTTTAATTCTTCTAACACAATTCATGGTAATGTAAAGAAAGTTGTGTGTACTAGTACTAGTAGCTGTTAAAAAAAAAAAGGGTGTGTACCGGTGAAATTTTTTATGAAGCAAACATCTATGAGATAGTATTCTATAATTGTCATTGTATCATGTCTTTCTTTATGTGTTAGAGTGAGGGGTGGTACTCCAAACAAGCCCTTGAAAGATCCTCGCTCCAATACCTGAAAAAGGAAAATATTCCGGTCGATGATGCCAGAATTAACACTCTGACGAGCAAGTTAGTATTTTTGAAGAGAGGAGGAAGTCCTTGGCTAGGTTTGGTTTGTTTTTTAAAAAAAATTTTGAGAAAAATTATCTACAAACAAATTTTCATGAGTAATCAAACCAAACAAATTTTTTCAAAAAAAACCTCAAAATTTTGTTTGGTTACCTACTTTCCAAAATGATTCTCTCTCACACACATCAAATCAATCACTTTTTTTAAAACTCTCTCCCCAAAACAATTTTTCAAAATCATTTCTGAAAAAAGGCAAACCAAACAAGTTTTCGTACTTTTTATCTCAAAAACTACTCTACAAACACAAACCAAACACATAAGGCCTTGTTTGGTTTGATTTTGGGGAAAAATTTTTGGAAATATACTCTACAAACACTTTTTTAAGAGTAATCAAACCAAACAAATTTTTCCAAAAAAACTCTCAGAAATTTGTTTGGTTATCCAATTTTCAGGATTACTTTTGAAACATGTTTGCAAAAAAAGTAAACCAAACAAGTTTTTGTACTTTTTTATCTCAAAAACTACTCTACAAAAAAAAAAAAAAAAAACACCAAAGTTATTTTAGAGAGAATATTTTGAAAAATACAAACCAAACAAGTTTTTATACTTTTTTATCTCAAAAACTACTCTACAAACACAAACCAAACACACATTTTGTATTTCTTAAAGTGTAAGTTATTAGAACATACCTTCTCATTCACCATTGCCTTCCTTTTGTAGAGTCATTCCCATAGATATTTTATCTTGTAGCTTAGCCTTTGATCATTGCCCTGTCAGAGCCCATCCCCCTATTACACCTCTAGAAAAAGGACAGCTTGGGCCCACTTAAAGTGGATTGGCATGCCGACTTCCTTGATATACTCGGCCCCAATGTACCGTCTCTGTACCTTTCACTCGGCATGTGCTTCAGCCCATTTGAATTTACTTGGCAATGATTTGCTTGACTCTAGTGGGCTTTGGCTGAATTTGGTCCATCAAAGATTGGCTTGGATGTGCCCTGTTTGCCGATTAGAAAGTCCATTTATTTGGCTACCACAATCAGTAATAACTCTGCCTGTGTCATGTTAAGTGTCTTATCTTTTACATAGCTGATCTGAAACTAACTAATGTTTAACTTATGTAGTTACACCTTATGTGCACGGATCCTAAAAGGTTAATATGGGTAGAACCAACCAAAGAAAGTGAATCCATGTAGCTAACCCAATTGATCTGGATTAGGGCCTGTTGAGTCGAGTAAGTAGGTAATATTCACATATACTCATTTATTTTTATTTTATAAGAATTTTTTTTGGGTGAATATTTTATAAGAAATTTAGTATCTATATTTTGAAAGATGTCATCTATGCTGTGCTGTTCACTAATTATAGTCAACTAGCTAATGAGTTCCTTGTGATTATTTATCAAAATCAATAAATAAATTCCAAGTTCCTTGTGATGTGTTAAATCATTGTTAATGGTGGTTGATTGGATTTTTTGTGGTCAAATGAAAAGATAAATATTATTTCTACACATGTTTATTCAAATAGATCTTATTGCAGTGTGAAAGCATATGATGTTTTAAATTTCTAACTTACATGAAGATGAGAGTTATTCTGGTTGTTCTGGGCATCATATCTTTAATGGATGCTAATTATGTGCTCTTGTGTAGTCAGAGGTTATGTGACTGGAAGTACTGATACTTCTCTGTGGACAGTCTACAATAAGGGTATCCGAAATTACTGTGGCAATGCCCTCCCCGATGGTGCGTTTTGTAAGCAATGTATAAATTCCCTAATGTTGTTTATATATTTTTTTTCTATATAATGTTCTATATTAATATGTAATAGGCATGGTGAAAAACCAAAGGCTACCTGCAAATATACTCACACCAACGACTAAGGCTGCAGATCATGATGTTCCTGTAACTCCAGAAGAGGTTTGGTTATATTGTGTAGAAATTTAATGTATAAAGAGAAATAGAGAATTGTATTATTGATTGATTTATATTGATATCAATTACAATGATTCATGATTCCTATATATAGAAGAGGGTGAGTGTGTAGTAGGTAAGGAGTAGGTGAAGTGGAGGTGGTAGTGGTGTAGTGGGTTAGGTTTAGTAGAGTAGGTTTAAGTGGGTGAAGTAGGTGATACGTTTTAACAGCCCCCCGCAAACTCAAAGGGGATAGGAACTAACCAACTTGAGTTTGGAGAGAATAACAAAACAAGAAAATACATAAAAATAAAAGAGGATAAGAGACACTGTATGGTCGTGTCAGACCATTGGTGAAAACACTGGATGGTGGTGTCATAACGTTGTAGAGGACACTGTATAGGGGTGTCATAACCATGTAGAGGACACTGTATGGTGGTGTCAGACCGATGTAGAAGACAGTTTATGGGGTCATGTCGGACCGATGTAGAAGACAGTTTATGGGGTCATGTCGGACCGATGTAGAAGACAGTTTATGGGGTCATGTCGGACCGATGTAGAAGACAGTTTATGGGGTCATGTCGGACCGATGTAGAAGACAGTTTATGGGGTCATGTCGGACCGATGTAGAAGACAGTTTATGGGGTCATGTCGGACCGATGTAGAAGACAGTTTATGGGGTCATGTCGGACCGATGTAGAAGACAGTTTATGGGGTCATGTCGGACCGATGTAGAAGACAGTTTATGGGGTCATGTCGGACCGATGTAGAAGACAGTTTATGGGGTCATGTCGGACCGATGTAGAAGACAGTTTATGGGGTCATGTCGGACCGATGTAGAAGACAGTTTATGGGGTCATGTCGGACCGATGTAGAAGACAGTTTATGGGGTCATGTCGGACCGATGTAGAAGACAGTTTATGGGGTCATGTCGGACCGATGTAGAAGACAGTTTATGGGGTCATGTCGGACCGATGTAGAAGACAGTTTATGGGGTCATGTCGGACCGATGTAGAAGACAGTTTATGGGGTCATGTCGGACCGATGTAGAAGACAGTTTATGGGGTCATGTCGGACCGATGTAGAAGACAGTTTATGGGGTCATGTCGGACCGATGTAGAAGACAGTTTATGGGGTCATGTCGGACCGATGTAGAAGACAGTTTATGGGGTCATGTCGGACCGATGTAGAAGACAGTTTATGGGGTCATGTCGGACCGATGTAGAAGACAGTTTATGGGGTCATGTCGGACCGATGTAGAAGACAGTTTATGGGGTCATGTCGGACCGATGTAGAAGACAGTTTATGGGGTCATGTCGGACCGATGTAGAAGACAGTTTATGGGGTCATGTCGGACCGATGTAGAAGACAGTTTATGGGGTCATGTCGGACCGATGTAGAAGACAGTTTATGGGGTCATGTCGGACCGATGTAGAAGACAGTTTATGGGGTCATGTCGGACCGATGTAGAAGACAGTTTATGGGGTCATGTCGGACCGATGTAGAAGACAGTTTATGGGGTCATGTCGGACCGATGTAGAAGACAGTTTATGGGGTCATGTCGGACCGATGTAGAAGACAGTTTATGGGGTCATGTCGGACCGATGTAGAAGACAGTTTAAGTGGTGTAGTGGGTTAGGTTTAGTGGAGTAGGTGAGGTGGTAGTGGTGTAGTGGGTTAGGTTTAGTGGAGTAGGTGAGGTGGTAGTGGTGTAGTGGGTTAGGTTTAGTGGAGTAGGTGAGGTGGTAGTGGTGTAGTGGGTTAGGTTTAGTGGAGTAGGTGAGGTGGTAGTGGTGTAGTGGGTTAGGTTTAGTGGAGTAGGTGAGGTGGTAGTGGTGTAGTGGGTTAGGTTTAGTGGAGTAGGTGAGGTGGTAGTGGTGTAGTGGGTTAGGTTTAGTGGAGTAGGTGAGGTGGTAGTGGTGTAGTGGGTTAGGTTTAGTGGAGTAGGTGAGGTGGTAGTGGTGTAGTGGGTTAGGTTTAGTGGAGTAGGTGAGGTGGTAGTGGTGTAGTGGGTTAGGTTTAGTGGAGTAGGTGAAGTGGTAGTGGTGTAGTGGGTTAGGTTTAGTGGAGTAGGTGAGGTGGTAGTGGTGTAGTGGGTTAGGTTTAGTGGAGTAGGTGAGGTGGTAGTGGTGTAGTGGGTTAGGTTTAGTGGAGTAGGTGAGGTGGTAGTGGTGTAGTGGGTTAGGTTTAGTGGAGTAGGTGAGGTGGTAGTGGTGTAGTGGGTTAGGTTTAGTGGAGTAGGTGAGGTGGTAGTGGTGTAGTGGGTTAGGTTTAGTGGAGTAGGTGAGGTGGTAGTGGTGTAGTGGGTTAGGTTTAGTGGAGTAGGTGAGGTGGTAGTGGTGTAGTGGGTTAGGTTTAGTGGAGTAGGTGAGGTGGTAGTGGTGTAGTGGGTTAGGTTTAGTGGAGTAGGTGAGGTGGTAGTGGTGTAGTGGGTTAGGTTTAGTGGAGTAGGTGAGGTGGTAGTGGTGTAGTGGGTTAGGTTTAGTGGAGTAGGTGAGGTGGTAGTGGTGTAGTGGGTTAGGTTTAGTGGAGTAGGTGAGGTGGTAGTGGTGTAGTGGGTTAGGTTTAGTGGAGTAGGTGAGGTGGTAGTGGTGTAGTGGGTTAGGTTTAGTGGAGTAGGTGAGGTGGTAGTGGTGTAGTGGGTTAGGTTTAGTGGAGTAGGTGAGGTGGTAGTGGTGTAGTGGGTTAGGTTTAGTGGAGTAGGTGAGGTGGTAGTGGTGTAGTGGGTTAGGTTTAGTGGAGTAGGTGAGGTGGTAGTGGTGTAGTGGGTTAGGTTTAGTGGAGTAGGTGAGGTGGTAGTGGTGTAGTGGGTTAGGTTTAGTGGAGTAGGTGAGGTGGTAGTGGTGTAGTGGGTTAGGTTTAGTGGAGTAGGTGAGGTGGTAGTGGTGTAGTGGGTTAGGTTTAGTGGAGTAGGTGAGGTGGTAGTGTTGTAGTGGGTTAGGTTTAGTGGAGTAGGTGAGGTGGTAGTGTTGTAGTGGGTTAGGTTTAGTGGAGTAGGTTTAAGTGGGTGAAGTAGGTGGAGAGTAGGTGGATTTTAACATATTGTTTTGATTTTTATCTATTTAAATTACTTTTTGCTTTATTCCTTTTTCTTTCTTTTAGGTTCTAACTGAATTTATTGTTTTGAATAATCCTGCCTTCAATTCTCATCAAGAAGTTTATTGCAGTATAGTTTTAATCTGTCATATATAAGAAGAAAAAGGAGGATAATACCAATGAGTGAATGAATTGAACAGGAGATTGTTAATGAAATTGATTGTATAAATGGACTATAAGGGCATTGTTCTCCTTTGATGCTATTAATTCTTCGGTGCAAGATGTTGTAGAAAAGGTCCTTTTTCCCAACCACAATAGAGTATATGTATAATTTGGAATTTTTGTTATTTTGTATATGTAGATTTATAGTTACTCCCTAACCATTCATGGCCCAAAAAATTTGAAAGGTAAAGAATTGATGATGAATAACCACTTTTTTGACTTAAAACATGAATATTTGCGTGTCAGGGAATTTCAGCAAATCTGTTTGGATGTTGTTTTGATCTCTTGTCGCCGTGTGCTGCATGTTTTTCATATGATTGATTTTGCCTTTCAGATAGTTCAACGTGGGCTGATGACTCAGGCTGATTATGATGAAGCAAGTAGGAAAGCATTAAGCTTATTTGAATATGGGCAGGTGATGGGATTTATCTTTTCTTGCTTTATAAATGCTTCCATTGTAGTGTAAAAGATTGTAGGACAATTACTGGGCCACATCAATCAATATTGGGAAGTTTTAAATTAGCATTTTGACTACCAGCATCAATTCTGTTTCAATGGGCCATTAGAGCAAAAAGATTAGAAAAGTGATGTTCCACTTGAGTAGGCTTTGAAAAGAAATAAAAAAGAGAGGAATGATGCTTGAAATGTTGCCTGTATTCTTAGCCTCTATCCTTCCCCATTGCTCTTCTTCGTTCATTTCTATGTGATAGTTAAATAAGAATTTTGTTTTTAATACATTTATCACCACACATGACACTGCTTTTTAACTAAAAGGTGGACATATTCTTAGTTTATCTTTTCAAAGGTTGACTTGTTTGTTTTTGGTTATCACTAGTCATGGACTTTAGCCATTGGGAAGCATGTATAACTTAAATTTTAGTAGTAGGCAAGGACTCATTTGCTTACATTGTGCCCTTACGGGTACTGTTGCTAAGCAAACTTCTGTAACTTATGTTGGTCTTGTTTACTGGCTGTTATGTATTGCAGCGTGTGGCTTCAGAACATGGCCTGATTTTGGTAGACACAAAATATGAATTTGGAAAGGGTTGTGATGGTACGGTGCTTTTAATTGACGAGGTAAGTTGTAATATCACTAAAGCATCCATTGCTTGTCATTCTCACTAAAACATCCATTACTCTCTCGATCGAGCATCCATTTATAGTATCACTATGAGATTTGATTTCCTGTCTGTGAATTCTAGGTACATACACCTGACTCGAGCAGATATTGGATTGCCCATTCCTATGAGGATCGATTTCAGAACGGTCTTGAACCTGAAAATGTTGACAAGGTCCATCAGTGTTCTGTTGATGTTCGGTTGTTCTTCTCTATGTTTGCTTATGCATTGATTTTGTGTTAGTATTAAAAAGAGTGCGGGTAGGGTGCCAACCTTATGTCAGCATGTCCCTTTTGTGGTGTGCATGCATTTTGGTGTCATGTTTCACATGTTGCATTTTTTTTTTCATAGTGCAAGAATTATAGTTTGTACAATTGGAAATTTGCTGACTACCAGAGTAATTGAAACCTTTTTAGGAGTTTCTAAGGTTGTGGTTCAAAGATAATTGCAATCCATACGAGGATGAGGTAAGCCACATTAAAATGTTTGATTGTGTTTCACTGCTGTTTGAAAGTCTATATATCAAGTCATAACATTGTGATATAAATGTTCAGGTCCTTCCGGATGCTCCTGAAGAACTTGTTTCTGAATTGGCTTGGCGGTATGTCTTCGATGTGATTTTGCATTTTTCAAAGGTCATACGTTTGAAAAATGAATATTAAAATTGCAAAAAACATTTGGTGAATTCCCTTTGCATTGATGCCATGTTCCCTTCATTTTAGTCATTCACTGGATTTGTGCCTCTACGAGAATTCTTCAAATGTTTATTTTATAATCTTACATTTGTCTGATTATTAGCAGGAAATTTCAAGGGGGCTGTTTTTCCACAATTTGTTTTTCTTCTTCTCATAACACCTCATTTGTATGTCAACTTAGAGCAACCACAACAGATAGGCAACTTGCTTATTAGTCTTGCCAAAAAAACGAAAGGGTCGTCTTTTGAGTTTGTCATTGGTGTTTGATCCTCATAAGAAATTTTTTGTTCTGTGTCAAAATGCTTTGATAGTTAGCTGCATTGTATAGTTCAATAAGAATTTATGTCTGGAAATAGGGTTTTCTTTTAAAATTAATCCTGTGTTGTATGCTCCCTTGTAACTATTGTGGTATGAAATCATAACAGTGTTGTCATGGCATCCCGATTGCAACTATTATAATTGCAACGTCTGTAATTGTCATCTTTTGAAATATTGATTTGTGTTGTAAATTTCTTTATAATCTAGATTTTGTTGCCGGCTTGCAAATTTTTGCCTTTGGGCTAGGCAATGCATTTACTATTTTCAGCGGCAAGTCTGTGTTTAACTTTAGAATTCTCTTGATGAGATTCTTTTGTAGTTTATTATTATTATTATTATTATTATTGTGAAACTGTTGTGTCCCTTCGCATTCAACAATAGTATAGAGCCTACTTGTTAATACTGATATTTCTCTTGAATGATAGATACATTTTCTTGTTTGAGACGATAACGAAGTCAAAATTTGATATACCAGTGACAGAGGTAAAAGACTTGACACAACACACCTTATTATGACTGCTGTTATTTTGATGGAAGGCATAAGATGCTAATATTGTGAAACTGCAACTATTGGGGATGTGATACTGGTTTCCTCATATGCAGGATCCTATACATGATCGGATCTCACGAAATGTTTCAATGGCACTGTCATCTCTACAGTAATTCAATTGAAGTCTGAACTATATTGACTCATCATGTGTTATGCTGATATTGTTGTGAGAAGATCAACCCAAATTTGGTCCATATAAAGATGGGCATTTAGGCCTTTGGGATAGCATCAGGGTCCACACTTTCACAGGAATTGCCCTTGATGTTGCAACGACCTCTTCAAAATCCATGGCTCTGGGCAATAGCTCGTGGGGGTGTTAACTAAACCAGATTATTCTGTCTTAACAAAAAAAAAAAAGAAAAAAAAAAACCCAGATTATTCTGAAACTTGCCGAGGTTTACAATGCTTTGTTAGTATTTAGTTTTTTTGCTTTTCGTGATGATTATTTTGCAGATGATGTTGCTTATGGCTCCTTTTTTTTTTTTTTTTTTTTTTAAATGCTTTGTTACTAGATTTTCATTTTTGTGTCTAACTGTTTGTAGTTGATGTCAAAAGACACAATGCTTTGTTGGGATATGTTTTGAGCTATCATCACTCATTGTCGATTTGCTGTCTCGATCACATACCCTTGCCAATTCATGAGCTCTCATCCCCAAACAGAATCATAACCACAATTCTTCTCACATGCCCTTGCCAATGCATTTACTATTTGCTGTCTCGATCACATACCCTTGCTATCTTGATCTTTGTGAACCCCATGAGATACATATTATAGCGTGTGGCATTGCTGTGTGTGGCAATGAATAACTGCTCAAAAAATTGAATGAGAGAATTAAAAAAAAAGAAAAGGTGAACAATAAAAGCCACTTCTTCCAATTTTTTTTTAGGGGCAAAATAAGTCATTACTGAACACATTTCTTCTTTCTCCAGCTTTGTTTCTCTCCCTCTTATCATTTCTCTCATTTTAAACCAGCCAAACCAGTGTTTCGGCAGGAAATAGTTACCTCCTCCCTCCCCCCTCTCTCTTTTTTATTTGTTTGTTTGTTTATTTAAATTAACTCGTCTAATCCACACCTTACTGCAAGAACCCAGAATGGCTGGAGGAGTGAAGTTGCGCAGCTATTTGGCAGTTCCCATTTGCCCTAAGGGTTAAGTGGGCCAACAGATTGAATATGAATACATGGAAGGAGATCTCCCAAACAAGAACCCGATGCTATTGCAGTTTAAGGAAAACTATTGGAGTGTTGGGTCGGTGGACACTGGGTCCAATGGGGGGGGGGGGGGGGGTTGGGTTTGGGTATTTTTGTAAATTCTATGTGCTTCCGTGTAACCTTAGTTCTATATTTATAAATAGATGAGGGAGCGTCTTTTTTAAGTAAAAAGAGAGTTGTATTTTTCTGATCATAATGAAAACTGTAGCAGTCGTGGACATAACCTTATTGTGGGGTGAATCGCATAAATCCTTGTGTTTTTATGTGTGTGATTTGTTTGATTCATTGATTTCTTTCTTGTTTGTTATTTCGTGTCTCATCGATGTTGGTTAGGAAGAGTCAATTCCTATGCAGTTAACAATTTGTTTGATTCGTTAATTTTTTTCTTATTTGTTATTTCGTGTCTCACTGATTTTGGTTAGGAAGGGTCAATTCTTAACAACTGGTATCAGAGCATTGGTTCGAGTGGGAGCGATGAGTACAGACGAAAAGGTTAGAATCAATAAATTCAATGGCACACATGCAGATTGAAGACTATCTATATCAGAAAAACTGTATGAGCCCCTTTCAAGGACGAAACCAAAAAAGATGAAACATGATGAGTGGACTCTTCTTGATCGCCAAGCGCTAGGTATTAGTCGGCTAACGTTGTCTCGTAACGATGCGTTTAACACAGCGAAGGAGAAGACTACAACAGGTTTCATGGCGACACTCTCAAACATATACAAAAAACCCTCTGCCTCAAATAAAGTTTATTTGATGTGTAGATTGTTTAATTTGATGATGATAGTTGGTGTTTCGGTGGCTGAGCATCTGAATGAATTCAATATTATGGTAACACAATTGAGTTATATATCTATCGAATTTGATGATGAGGTTAGGGCTTTGATCTTTCTATCTAGTTTGCCAGAAAGCTGGAATGGCTTTTCAGGAAAAGAAAAGTTAAATTACAATGATATTCGAGATTTAATTCTGAGTGAAGAAATTCAAAGGGGAAATTAGGGAAAACATCATGTTCTGCCCTCAATACAGAAGCCAGAGGAAGATTAGCAGGAAAAAACCCGAACTGCAACAGATCAAAATCCAAACACAGAAGCAAAGCCAAGAACTGGAGAAGGACAGAATTGTTGGAACTATGAAAAGAAATGACATCTAAGGGGAGATTGCCCGACATAGAATAAGAACAAAAATGATCAAAATCAGAAGTCTGCTAATGCTGCAACGGAGGAGATTTATGATGCTTTGATCTTGAGTATTGACAACCCTTTTGAATATTGGATTTTAGATTTTGGGGCATCATTCCATTCTACTTCACAGAGGGAAATCATGGACAATTACATTGGTGGTGATTTCGGGAAGGTTTATCTGGCTGATGATGAACTTTTGAAGATTGTGGGTAAAGAGGATGTAATAATCAAGTTGCCAAACGGATCTGTTTGGAAGATACAGAATGTCAGACATGTGCTTAGTTTGAAAAGAAACTTGATTTCTGTTGGACAACTTGATGATGAAGGTCATGTTGTAACCTTCATGGGTGGTTTGCGAAAAATCACCAATGGAGCCATGGTTGTTGCTCGTGGTAAAAAAGAAGGTACCCTTTACATGACTACGAACAATAGAGATGCAGTGGCAGTTGCTGGTGAGAAGGAAGACTCAAATCTGTGGCACTAAAGGCTTGGGCATATGAGTCAAAAAGGGATGAAGGTACTTGCATCTAAGGGGAAGCTGTCAGATTTGAAATCGGTGGACATTGACTTTTGTGAGGATTGCGTGTTCGGCAAACAAAAGAGGGTTAGTTTTTCAAAGGATGACTGGAAATCGAAGTCAAAAAAACTGCAGTTGGTTCATACAGATATGTAGGGACCTGCACCAGTTTCATCTCTTGAAGGATCATCATACTATGTTACCTTATCGACGACTCAACGATAAAGGTATGAGTTTATTTTTTAAAACATAAATCTGAAGTTTATACTACTTTTAAGAAGAGGAAAGCCTTGGTAGAGACTGAAACATGTTTGCAAACTAAGTGCTTGAGATCAGATAATGAAGGAGAATATGAGGACAATGAGTTCAAGAAATATTGTGCAGAAAGTAGAATTAGAATGGAGAAGACTGTTCGAAAGACACCTTAACAGAATGGCGTTGCAGAACGCATGAATAGAACTCTGAATGAACGTGCTAAAAATATGAGGATACATGCCAGATTACCAAGGATGTTTCGGGTAGATGCAGTTAACATTACAGCATATTTGATTAACTGTGGTCCATCTGTTCCATTGGATGGAGAGCTACCAGAAGAAGCTTGGAGCGGTAAATAGGTAAATATTTCTTTTTTGAAGGTATTTGGCTGTGTTTTATACATGCATACAGATTTTGCTGATAGAAGTAAACTTGATCAAAAAATTGGTTAAATGTATTTTTATTGGGTATGGCATTGATCAATTTGATTATCAGTTTTGGAATGATAAAAATTGAAAAATAATCAGAAGTAGAGATGTCATATTTAATGAGAAAGTAATGTATAAAGATAGGGATAAATCTGCATCTAAATCTGAATTTGAATCTGTTACTTGTCATGAGCATGTTGAGTTAGAGGAAATTAGTGAGAATGATTTGAATAGTAGGATTCAGAATAATCCTGAAAATCTTATTCCACAAACTGAGTCACATACTCCTACTCCTAAGCTGAAACGGTCAGAAAAAGAGTCTAAACCTACACATCGTTGGTCTCCATCTTCATATTATTTGTTGTTGTCTGATGGTGGTGAACCCGAAAGTTATGATGAAGCTTTGCAGGTTGATGATTCAATCAAGTGGGAGTCAGTTATACAAGATGAAATGGATTTACTCATGGCTAACTAGACATGTGGAATTGACTAAATTACCAGTGGGTAAGAAAGCTTTGCACAACAAGTGGGTTTACAGGGTCAAACAGGAACATGATGGAAGTAAACGCTACAAGGCCAGATTGGTTGCAAAGAGATTTCAGCAAAAAGAAAAGGTTGACTCCACTAAAATTTTCTTTCTAATTGTGAAGTTGACCACTATCAGATTGGTGCTGGGAATTGTGGTTGCTGAAGATTTGCATCTTGAGCAGATGGATGTGAAGACGGCTTTTCTCCATGGTGATTTAGAGGAGGAAATTTACATGAAGTAACCACAAGAAGTTTGATGGGTTTATGTGTAGCAGCGGTTTTACAAGATGTCAAGCGGATCATTGTTGTTATTTCAAGAGGTTTGACAAAAGTTATATTATTTTGCTCTTATATGTTGATGATATAGGATCTAGCATTGAAGAGATAAAAAGACTGAAGAAACTTTTGTCCAACCAATTTGAGATGAAGGATCTTAGAGTTGCAAACAAAATCCTTGGTATGAGGATTCACAGGGACAAGGCAAATAGTACTTTGAAGTTGTCACAGGCTTAGTATGTCAAGAAAGTTCTCAAGAGGTTTATGGATGGTGCAAAACTAGTGAGCACTCCATTGGCTAGCCACTTCAGACTTACCAAAGAGCAGTCTTCGAAGACTGAAGAAGAACAGGCTTATACGAAACATGTTCCATATGCTTAAGCTATCGGTAGCATAATGTATGCTATGGTTTGTACTAGACCAAACATTGCACATGCAGTGAGAATGGTTAGTAAGTACATGGGTAATTCAGGCAAACAACATTGAGAGACAGTGAAGTGGATCCTTAGATACTTGAGTGGTACTACGGACATGACACTTTGTTTCAGACGAACCAGCATTAGGTTACATGGTTATGTTGATGCAGACTTGGCTGGTGATATGGATAACAGAAAGAGTACTACTGGTTATGTTTACACATTAGGTGGTACAGCAGTGAGTTAGATTTCACAGTTACAGAAGATTTGTGGTCCTTTCTATAACAGAGACCGAGTATGTTGCTATTACTGAAGTTGGGAAGGAGATGACTTGGTTATAGAATTTCCTGGCAGAGTTGGGTAAGACGCAAGAGATGAGTATTTTGCATAATGACAGTCAAAGTGCTATTCATCTTGCAAAGAATCTGGCTTTTCATTTTAGGACGAAACACATTCAGCTGCGATACCATTTCATTCGTTCACTTATAGATGATGGAGCCTTGTCTCTTGAGAAGATCCAAGGCAATAAGAATCCAGCAGATATGTTGACCAAGACAGTCACCATTGACAAACTGAAGTTGTGTGCAACTTCAGTTGGCTTTCAAGATTGATGAAGGAAGATTAAGTTGTTGCGGCATTTCTCTATGTGATGAAGATGATGGAGAGCTTGTGTAATCAGGGCATGTTTCTGGGCCAAATTTCTGGATGACAGGTATGACAACAAGCCTTTACCATCTCTGTTTGATAGCTTAACTGTTACTAGGTAATCCACCTCCAGCCTTCTACATGCACATGGAC